TTGGCATTTAAGGATTTTTAGGTTATGTATCTGTCAAAGTATAGAAAATGAAAGAAATAATATTATGTTTAGGCGTTAAAAATGTATAAATCTTTATAACATTACAATAACAATGGATGGTTTAAGAATATAAATACTGCATTTTACTCTTCTTTTGTAAAAAATAAACCTTATTATATCAAATGTCAATTTGAAGGTTAATTTGTGGGTTATAAAATAACCTTAAATTAACCTTCAAATTGACATTTGACAGCCCTGATAGAATAAGGTTTATTTTTTACAAAAGAGGAGTAAAATGATTGTTCTTACCACTTGAGGTCTCTTTTAAGGCTTGCAAGTCTCTCTGTAAGAAACATAACGTTTAAAACGATTATTAATCTGTACAAACCCAAAGCACAAGAATTGTAAACAACAAAAATGGCCGCCATCGTATGATGTGCATTTTTAGTATTTTTACTACGAGATCGAACAGACCTTGTTGTGTGGATTGTGAGTAGCATAACATTGTTATTATTACTTTTCTAGCAGAGAGAATATTCTATATAAATATATATATATTATACACTTATATATAATAATATTGCACACAATATTGTGTGCAATATTATTATATATAAGTGTATAATATATATATAATATAAGATATTTAAATTTATTATTTACCTATGTGTTTTTATAATTATTTATGCGTGTGGGATTAATTTACAATACCAAACTGTGCTGTGGCTATGTGTATAAATTATAATACAAAGGTAACAGCTAACATTTTAAAGTTATAAATAAATTAAATCTTTTTTTTAAATTTAGTTTTTGGAGATTATGTGCTTCAAAAATCAAATTAAAAAAAAATATACAGGGTGTTACAAAGAAAACTTGTACCCCCAAACGTTTTAACGGGTCAATGTGGACAACATTCTTTGAGCACGGCAATTTTTATTTCTAGGGAGACGAATTTTAATGTACGATTCAGGCCCCCACCCGCACCCCTACGCGCTCCACCCTGCCCCTCGCCAAAATCATAAATTGTTGAGTGACATATCTTATTAAAGGTGTTTTAATTCAATAAGATTCTGTTTCAAAAATATGTCAGATAAGCCTCATTCAGAACCTCGTAATTAGTGGAATAAATTAGTGGTTTCAATTAACGTAAAAGTTTGTCTTATGAATATACACAGTGTTGTTCACAACCAAAAAATTAGTGGAAAAAGTTTGCAAACTTCTAACTTTCGTGCACCACTAATTATAATTGGAAAGCGGCTTTGCGCATGTGCGCGGATATTTTATATCAAAAGCAAAAAGTTTTGCCAGTGAAGGTAAGGTTATATAAATATTATTGTAATGGTTGTACAAAATATTATTTTAACTTCTTCTTCTTCTACAAGTTGAGCGGATTTACAGTTACACCTACCGCCCTTTTGGTCGTGGACAAAAATCCTTATTAACCAGGTACAAGTATTAACGTCCAATGTTTTCAGTAAGATCCAAAAACCATTGGACAACGGTTGTCTAACAAACACGTGGACACAAATAGGTTATGTAACCTTAAAAATTATAGCTTTATATAAATTCCTCTTATCCTTTGTAAAAGGACTAATCGAGGAATATTATCGAGCAACAGGAATATTTCTATTCCGGGAACCCCATTTTGCCCCTCCCAGGTGCAGAAGTCACTTATTTTTCACTACTTTTTCATAGAGCAACCACATTCTACGAGATTCAAAATGGAACTCCCCTATTATTTTAATATAATTAATATTGTTTATGTCAGGTTAAGAAAATGGACGATCTTTTAGCAAATTCCCTTAATTTTAGATGTTAATTTTGCGCATTGTGAATGATCGTTTTGTGTTAATTATAAGTATAATTAAAACCACTAATTTTTTTCACTAATTACGAGGTTCTGAATGAGGCTATAGTTTTCGAGAAAATGGTATTTGAATTTTCAAATTTAGAGAAAAAAAAATTGTAAATCAACGAATGTGTGGGTTTCATGAAGCAAATGTATATTACTATCGCTATAAATGTTATGAATCACCTTTTTATTAATAATAATAAAAAAGTTTTATACCCCAAGTAGTTGTATACACGCGGCTGTGCTCGCGTGTTTCTAAGAAAAACTGTTATTTTAACAGCTGTCATTGTGACAGCTATCATTTAGGCACCTGTTATTTTGACAGGACATTCGGGCAGCTGTCATTTTGACAGCCGTTATTTTGCCACCTGTTTTTTTAACAGCTGTCATTCAGGCATTTGTCATTTTAACAGATGTCATTTTGACAGTTGTTATTTTAAACAACGTCTGTACTATTGTATATCGACCTTATATTGATTTAACATAAACATTTTTATTTTCGTTCGTTGATATATTATTTAAATGTAGAAATTGTAGAAATTAAATTAAAAATTGCAAGAAACTTAATTCTTTTAAAATCCGGCTATAAATAACGGAGATAAAAAGGTTTATGTAAAAATAAAAGAAGTTCGATAATTCGAAAACAAAAGCCTAAATAAAAATTTTTATTTTAAAAAACTGTTCTTCAACCTCTGCGTTGTCAAATTTAAATAAAAACACCATGTGTTTATAACTACGAAGGCGTAGAAGGGCCAACAAATATTTTACAAGTTTTAGCCAAAACTAACTTTGATTTTTGCAATTTCTATTCTATAATTGTAACTTGAACTTACAATTATTGTATGTTCAAGTTACAATTGTGATTATTTTGCCCACCCCTAGCGGTCTTGTATAAAGGAAAGTCATTTAGAGAATGTTTATGCTTTAATTCTGTCTCTTATCACTAATTCTGCCAAAATTGTAACTTGAACCTACAATTGTAAGTTCAAGTTAAAATTATAGAATACACTGAGAGAAAAAAATGGTTTTTATTACCAAATCTGCATTTTTATAACCAAATGCTTTATTCAGTATTTGACTTACAAACGGCTACGTTATTAAAAACAAATGATTAAGCTTTAAGACATTTGGTCATATTTACTTAATAATTTGTTTTTGGTTATTAAAACCAAACCAATTAGTCGTAATAAATAAGTTATTTATTTATAAGAATCAAATTTTTATTTAAAAAAAAATATATTTATTTATAAAAAACAAATGATCTTTTTTTGTTAACAAATCGTTTTGTTTTAAAAAATAAGTAATATACAGGGTATTTTAGACTTGTGGTGCCAAAAGCTCAGGGGAGATTCCTCTCAAGTATGAAAAAAAGTTTTTATGAACATGTGTCCGAAAATGATTTGTTTCCGAGATACAGGGTGTTTGTTTTTTTTTTAATTGAGTTTTTTATTTATAGCTTAAAACACTTTTTTATACATTATTATGATTATTTTTGTAACAAAAAAGTATCAAATTTAAACTTTTTTTTTAAAATAAAACACCCTGTATCTCGGTATGAAGCATTTTCGGACACTTGTTCATGGGAACTTTTTTTTCATATTTTGATGAGAGGAATCTCCTCCGAGCTTTTGGCACCACAAGTCTGAAACACCCTGTATTATTAAAACAAAACATGTATTTTTATAATTTAGCGTTTTTATAAAAATTAGGGTTTTCTATATTAAATAACACTCGGCCATTGATAACAATACATTTTATTTTAATGAAAAATAAAAAACATTTTCCTTAAAAAACATGTTTGCAAACAAAAACTTTTTTTTTGGTAAAGTAAACTAAACATCTTAAACTTAAGTATATAAGTTTATAAACTAAACATCTTAATTTAAAATTCTTAAACTTAAAAAACATAACTCTGTTAAATTATTTTCAATCAAAAATGTATCCATATTTACCTAATTTAGGTATAAACTATACAGCACGTCCGGACGCGTCCACTCCCTTTGCACAAACTAACACAATGGCCGAACTAAATAAAGCATCTACGGCGAATAATCAACGTGTTTTATCCTGCATTTGTTTTTTATAAGCAAGCAACAACTCGATTTATTCATACAAACTCTATTTGAAAATGGTTTGTTATTATTAAACTATATTTGTTTTGTATAACCAAATACAGTGAACCAAATCATTTTTTCAAAATAAACTTAAGTAATTCTGAATATAGTTACTAAGAAGTGCTGATTTGGTATAGAGAAGAATTATTTATTATATTTTACCAAATATATTAAAACAAATCATTTTTTAACTATACCCAGACTATTTCTCTCGGTGTAGAAATTGCAAAAATCAAAGTTAGTTTTTGCCCTTCTACGCCTTCGTATACAACTTTTAATTCTATTATTTTTAAAATAATATCCATAACAAAAAACATTAATTATAATTATATACCTAATAATTATTTTATTTGCTTTGCATATACCTATATATAGTTTAAAAAATACATTGGCACAATGACAAAATACAAATCCGTAGAAATAATACCTCAAACCAATTTTCCCTTACAATCAGTTTTAATAAATCGGCTGTCATAATTGTAAATTTAATAAAACGCGAACATTGGAACAAGTGGATACTTTGACGAACGTGACGTCATAAGGAGCGCTACCATGCGCAATGGCATACCATTTTTTCTTTTTCTATGTGTACTGCCTTCAGCAAATGTTAGAACTTTCTTAAGGACGAACTTTCAATTTTTAAAATATAAATTTAGGTAAAAAGTAAAATACTAGGTAATCATAAAAAAGTACCAACCATTTAGTTAAAAAAATGAATGTGTAAAAAAATAGTTAACTATATGAAAAAAATTAAAGGTCTACATTTTTTTTTAATTTTATTTATTTGTTAAATTGTATATTATTATAATACTGTTTAATAGTTTATTTATTTATTTATTATAATACTGTTTAATAGTTTATCAAAACAGTTTTATTATACCTATATAGATAGTTCTAGACCTGCAAATGCCAAGCTATTTAAATTTACTAACAAAAAAAGGGGGGCGCGATATTTAAAAGATTGTGATGCGCTGCTTTATACATTATTCGCTAGTCAATCGTATTAAAGTGGTTATTTTTATTTTACAACTAAAATGGGAGAGACAGATGTACAAAAATTCTACAATGGCGCTACTGTATTCCTCACGGGTGGCACTGGTTTTCTGGGAAAAATGCTCATAGAAAAACTTTTGAGAAGCACGGATGTTAAAATAATATACATCTTAATTAGGGAAAAAAAAGGAAAAAATGTTGACAGTAGAGTTGAAGGGATATTTGAGGATGTGGTGAGAAAAAAATATAATAATAATGTTTTCTTCTTAATATAAAATACATAAAATGTCAATTTTAAATTATTCAGTATTTTTAAAATGCACACTTTATTTTATAGATGTTTGATGTTTTAAAAAAGAAACTTCCCAAATTTAGACAAAAAATCTGGCCTATTGCTGGCGATTGCTCAATTAGCGGACTAGGTATAACATTGGAAGATAGAAAAAAGATTATTTCCACAACCAACATAGTTTTTCATCTAGCGGCAACAGTTAAACTTGATGAAAACCTAAAACAAGCATTCTATATTAACGTTAATGGAACCAACGAAATAGTGCTTTTAAGCAAACAAATGAAGGATCTAAAGGTGAGTTTTTATATTGTATACAACTTTTTAGTTGCTATTTAAATTTTAATAATGGACAACAGTATTCATTAAAAATTAAATTCCTAAAGACTAAAAAGTTTCTATTTTGGGAAAAAGTCGAAGTAAATTAATTGTTAACAAAAATTAAAAGAACACGTGCCGCAGAAAGATAAAATTAATTTTTCGTAAGTAATATCATAAGGGCATCTAATTTTTCCGAAAAAAATCGAAAAAACACGTTGCTAAGTAATATTTTAACAAGAAGCATGAGTGCTGGTGGCAACAAAAATCCGAGTCGAAGAGGAGGATTTTTGCACCTGCACGAATGCATTTTGTTAAAAAATATTACTTAGCATTGTGTTTTTTAGATTTTTTTCACAGGAAAAGTTAGATGCCCGAATGGTATTTGACAAGACTATTTCATGAGTATACTCATGTTATAACAGTTAACAATTAAAATATAAATTGCAATTTTTGTTGACAACAGCTGTCAAGTTTTGCCGCGGGTAAACTCGAAAAAACTGCTGACAGGTGCTGTCAGTATAGTTTTTTCACCTAGAAACCATTTGTAATTCAAAATTGCGTTTGTGATTGGTGGAAATTAAGACGAGGGAAATAGTCGATGAAAACGGTTTTTATAGAAAATTTAATTCTTTACATAAAGTGTCCTATCCATTTTTTTTTTTAAATATTATATATTATATTATTTCAAAAAAATATAAAAAAAATTTCCTAAAGGTATCATATTTAATATTATTAATTATTATTATTATCAATCAGTAAAAAAAAATTCACCCAATAGGGAAAATTCACAATTTTTTTTTTAATATATTTATAAATACACATTTATGTAGTTAATTTAATTTGATATAAAACCGTTTCAATGTTTTTCTCTTAAAATTGCATATTTTATAAAATATTTACAAGGAAACTGCCGTTTTCACAAGTTCAATAAAATTAATTCCTAATATTTATATTTAAAGTTCGCTAGAAAACAGTAAAATCAATTTTCAAAATTTATTAGCGACCTTTAAGAATTCATATTTCAAGCTTAAATTTTAAGAAACCTATTAATTTTTTGTTTAAAAATATAGTAAAAAAGAAAAAACTATTTTTGGAATTTTCAAAATTCGTTAACGACCCCTTAAACTTTTTTAAATTGAGCTAGTTATTAGAGAGAGTTGTAAAAGCTTGATAAATTAACATACTTTCATAGAATACTAAAAAATAATAGTCGTTTATTGCGCAGTGCGCACCCAGATTTTTGTCGCATGCATAACTTTAACATTTAATAAAACTTTAAAAATAAATGCAAAAAGTATATACCTATATATATATATATATATATATATATATATATCAGGGTTCACAGCGAGTGCCCTAATGTGCCCTATTTTTTCTGGGTGCCCTAAAAGTGCCCTATTTTTTATCAATTTTTCGTTTATTTTTTAAATTGTGATATATAAAAATTTAAATGCTTGTAAATAAAATTTACACTAAATGTTAATTAGGTGCGAAGGCATACAAGGGTTTTAAGAAAGTGAAGAGTCCAAATGCGGCATACATAATATAAAAAAACGGTTAATTCACTTTTTGAATCTGGCGGTACAAGCACCACGCCCCCAACATTGCCGACGCGTTTTGATTGGCTCTGCATAATGCATGCTTTTGTTGTCATTTCGCGGCATTTTTCTATGCAGTAAGGTTAAACCTAACTAACTTAGTTTTGACTCGGTTTGCGTTTAACTAGACGATGATGATGATGCGCACAAGATGCGAAATCATTGCGAAGCGCAATTTGCGATTTTGCGAATTAAATTCACTAAATTCACTATCTTTAAGATAAAAATAGTATTTTACCACCATCTATTATAATAGTAATAAAATAGGGCTTCTATTAACTATTCATAGAGAGCGACTTGCATTCATAAATAATTTATATAATTATTATATTATTATTATTACAAATTTTGTAGTAATTTTTTTTCTGAGGAATTCTATCTTGGAAGAGGGGTAATTACCCCCATTATCCCCCTTATCGACGCCCTTGTCTATACTTTTCACGCTCAAGTGAAAGTCGGAGAATATGTGCGCACTCGTCTTTTTGCGATTCTCTGGTCAGATTCTGGTCCAATTTTGGTCACAGACTTGTCCAAGTCTGCCACCAGTCTGGATAAAGAATTTTGATCAAGAGTCTTGGTCAAGAATTGTCCAATTTCATTGCTACTAAGGTAGAACCTTACTTATAAAGATTTGTTTTTTATTTAAGAAAGGATATTTTTATTTATTTGTTTTTTTTTATGAATTGTTTACAGCAGAGGCGGATTAAATGTCGAGAGCGCCCTAGGCAAGCACCTCATCGGCGCCCCTCTAGCGGCCATATATTATAAATTTTTACTAGTACTTACATAATAATTAGCTGTGCACTGCGGTTTCACCCGCATGATGCCCCATACCGTGGAAATTTCGGTCTCCAGCTCTCTACATACCAAGTTTTATCACAATCGGTTTAGTAGTTTTTGCCCGAAGAAGTAACACACACTTTCGCAGTTATAATATTATTAGGGTAAGTACACGTGTCCTGACTTATACTTAAATTTAGGTATAGGCCAGGACACGTGTACTTACCCTTAGGTGTGAATGAAATATGTGATATACATTTCTATAGAATTAACTTATCTTTTACATGTTAATTTTAAGTTTATGTTAATTAGGAGTATCAATACAGACGGCCAGTCGAGTAAATGTGCTCTCTAATTCGATCGCTCTTAAGTGTACCTAATAATAAGTTTTAAGGAAACATAAAAATCGCTCATGTACAGTGTAGTTTAAGGAAAATAATGGGCGAAGTTAGTGCAAAGATTTACTACTTGGACAACGAAAATCAGTGTACCTGTTGTCCAAAGTCTTAATAGAAACATTGAATTAGTGCATTATAAAGCAACCCCAACAAGTGAATATAGTGAATAAAGACCATACGGACACGGAAGTAATTAAGTAATAAATGACAGCATACCTGAAGATCTAACCCTAGGCCAATATGAATGACCTTATGTAGGGAACAAACTAGCCTAGAGTCACTCTAGTAGAGTGGAAGGGGCCATCATCTGCAAAAATCTGTACCAATTAATCGCATGACCTAATACGCAAATTCGCAACAAAAACCTAACAATAATCAATCATCTCTCCAAGGCCTTTGATTGTGTTTCACATGACATTCTGCTGAAAAAACTAAATTATTATGGTTTCAGTGATATTGGTATACTTTTTATGGAAAGTTATCTAAAGGGTAGACGACAGATGACTTTTTATGGGGGTGAGGTGTCTGAGGTGAAGGCCATTGAATGTGGGGTTCCTCAGGGATCACTACTAGGTCCATTGCTATTTATAATTTACATAAATGATATACCAACAAATTGGCAACAATCACACCAAATGCTCTGATTTTGTATGCAGATGATACCACCATAACAACTTCTTCAAGGAACTTAGTTGACGTAAGATCTAGTCTAAATATCGATATGCAAAATGCCAAAAGTTGGTTCACTGCCAACTGCTTAAATCTGAACGTCCAAAAAACCGAACAAGTTATTTTCTCCCTTAGAAGTCATCAGGATCTGGCTCTGTGTGAAGTTAAATTTCTAGGAATTAAAATTGATACAGAGTTAAGATTTGAAGCCCATGTCAATTTTATTTCCCCTAAAATATGCAAAAACATTTTCCTTTTAAAAATATTATACAATAATGTAAATACTAAACTGTGTAAAACAGCATATTATTCCCTAATACACTCAGTATGCACTTATTCAATATTAAGTTGGGGGCATAGTACTCATACAAATAGGGTATTTGGACTTCAGAGGAGAGCAGTTAGGATTTTGGCCAATGTTTCTTACAGAGCCGATGCCAAACAGGCATTTATAGACAATAATATACTTACTCTGCCATGTTGCTATATATTGGAATGCCTTATATATGCAAGAGTAAATCAGTATACATATAATACAAGAAGCCAACTTCACAGCTATAACACAAGACATAATAATGATCTCCAGGCCCGTTCCTGGGGTGTCTGGCGCCTGCGTGCAGCATTCGTTGGTGCGCCCCTTTTATATTTAAATATAATACATTAAATATTTGAATTTTAAGCCGTAAAATTTAAAAAATATATATTTTGCGACAAACTGGCAATATGTAATTGAAAATGTAAAAAAACCGCTTAAATTAAGTATAAAAATATTTATTAAATTACCAAACAAACAAGTAATATCCTAAGGGCATCTATTTTTTCGAAAAAACACGTTGCTAAGTAATATTTTAACAAGAAGCATGAGTGCTGGTGGCAACAAAAATCCGAGTCGAAGACGAGGATTTTTGCACCTGCACGAATGCATTTTGTTAAAAAATATTACTTAGCATTGTGTTTTAACGATTTTTTTCATAGTTAGATGCCCGAATGGTATTTGACAAGACTATTTTATGAGTAACAGTTAACAATTAAAATATAAATTGTAATTTTTGGTGACAACAGCTGTCAAGTTTTGCCGCGGGTAAACTCGAAAAAACTGCTGACAGGTGCTGTCATACAGTTTTTCCACATAGAAACCATTTGTAGTTCAAAATTGCGCGTTTGTGATTGGTGGAAATTAAGACGAGGGAAATAGTCAGTGATAATAATAATAATAATAATAATAATAATCTTTATTCATGTTAATATGTACAGTTACATTTACACAAGTCAAGGAAAAGATACAAATTAAAAAAATGTTAAAAGAAATTATACAATACAAAAATTTAAAATTTAAGGTAGGACATATACATCAAATATTTGATCATCGATCTAAAATAATAACATTATGCAGGAAAAAAAAAACAAGTAATAATTTTAATATTAAAATTTACAAAGACAGGTCACATGTTAAAAATTCGTTTAAACAATAAAACGCTTTAGTCAGTAAAAGTTTCTTAAGACGTGCTTTAAATTGTTTTAGGGGTAACTT